TTCTCTTATGCATCACCAACGTTATCCCCTACGGCCGCCAAAAATTGTCATAAAATTGAATAACCCGTTGCAGGGATGCAAATGCAACAAACGTTGCAAGCGTTCGCTTCACAGACTTTGGACATCCACGAGATTTGTTACGCGTGGGTTAATATATGACTCCAATAGAAAGGGTCGAAATTTTCTTACAAACCAATACAACGTTCCAAGTGAATTTGCAACGATGCTCATTGCTAGTTATAGTTGCCAACTACAGTTAACGGATTGTTTTAAAGATTTTCATTTCTTTAAATATATTTGTTTCTGAATTTAAAGATTAAAAAAGATTCAAGTGGAGAAGAATCGCATCATCCACTTTTTTCATTATTAATGATACTTTTTAAGGGTTTTACGCTTTTGAAAATGTCATTGAAATCATGTCCAAGGACTTGTATTTATTCTCACCAAAGAGCATTTACAAATAGTAGTTACCAAGCGAAGCAATAAACCTACCTTATGTCTACATCGTTTGAAGGCCATAATATATAAAAAAACACGTTATCACCTCTGTGCATACCATCATCCAACGGCCATAGCCTTAGGTGACACATAACTTTTCGTCCACTTTAAGACACATATTCATGTACTAATGTATACATACAAGTGTTACCGTGAACATTTTTCTTGCGTTATTTTCTTTCTTTTATTGAAAAAATTTTTTTTTGCGCGTTTAAGCATTTTGCATTTTATGCCAGCCCATTATTATACCACTAAAGATAACTGCTCCTAGTAGCATCGGTTTATCGTTGCTACCATCGGCCAGTGTTAAGTGTTGAGGCAGCACAGAGATGTACAGAGATGTTATCATCTACTCACACATATTTTCCACAAACACACTCATACACAAGGAGACACACATGTATGTCTCTATTAGCCCAATGGGTTTCCAAGCAAAATGTGGTCAAATAATATTTAGATTTGGATTAACAATGTAGCATCAGCACAATACATTCACGCAAACATATACGTATAGATAGATACGTCTGGTATTCCGTACGCGTACGTACGATGTGGATTTGCTTGTAAGTTAGTCTCAGTTTCAAGTTTTTTCTGCTATCACACCATATGTCCTTGCATTCGTTTTTAAGTGTATTTAAGATTTAAAATTTACATAACAACTGCGTTAAAAATATAAAGAGAAACAAAAGATAAATAAGAATAAAGGAAATTTTAGTTACTACTAAGTATGTTATAAGTGTACTTAGGTAAGAACTTACATCCTGTGTCTCGTGGACTTACACATTTCGAACTTGAAACACGTCGCAAGTTTATAGTCGAGTATACTATCGCAGTTTGAATATATCTATATCTCTTTACATACTGCATAAATTATCGCGCGACCTCTGCCGATATTGTAGCAAAAGTTATACGTATTTCTTATAAGAACTTCTATCTGAGAACAAGAACGAAATATGGGCCTACGCGATCCAAACGTAGCCTTGTGAGTGCAAATGTCAAATTGCCCTTTCGGAGCAATCTCCGTCATAAACTATTAAAAACCACGCCTACTTCCCATATGAAGCCTTACTTCTCCTGACAATTCTTACACGAGAAGCAGTCCGAAAAGGAGGTCAATGTAGACCGAACTGAACAAAACAGATTGCAACACCACGTCAGTATTTAAGATCAACTTTCTTTATCAAACGCTGAAAACTACACCTTGCTATTTATTAAGACTTATTTTTTATAAGACTTATATAGGGAAGCAGACAGAGACTCGACAAATAGTATCATCCTATCCAAACTTGCTTATTTCATTCAATATATCAAATTCCAATTTTCATCGAATACAAGAAATCACACATTTTTAGGTATAATGATCTTTTTAAAGCAGGACGCTATACAAGGATTCATCATAAAATCAACGAAACCGATTCATTATATCTCACACCACTTGCGCTAAAGGTTAACATGGACCCACTTTTTTTTTATGCCGATCAATTCAGAAAATGGTTCTGTCTGTTCATCTGATATCTATCCATATGAATTCGAGCTACAGATCGCAATTTTATATAGTAAGAGGGTATAACTATTAATATTTCATGATGAAAATTACTTCATAATAATAATCTGATATAGAAATCAACTGTACCGAATTTGGACTACGTCAGTCTATTTTTCGTATACTTGCGCAACTTTAATTTTTTACTTCTTTTTCACAGAGTTGTCCTTTGGAGCAAAACATATCATTGTACAATATCAGTTCATCAAAAGACCGTGAAAATTTTACCAGAATCAGACGGATATATAGTAGATATCTCTCAACCTGATCAGAAAATGACTCTGAATAGATTGGTATAGTAAGAGCCGAATGTAGTCGTTTAGGATGCCCTATACATCCGCATATACGTAATATATCCTTAACATATCCTTACCACAAGTAAGGGATAATATATACAACGCATTATTTATGACTGAAAAAATCTGCACGTGTATTTATCTACGTATCTTTTTTAAATAAGTAAAAATTTTTTTCAAAATATAGAGACTGTCGAAATATACCGGGAATGTAATTATGCAATTGCCAATTTTATGGTAAACCGATAGGCAGTCAGAGAAATAGTTATGCAGATGGTCAAAACGTTTAAAGATTTAAACTTCAAGGTGTGACTTTGTCCAAATTTACAATTTCAATTGTGGAAACAAGAAAATATCCGAATAATTTCCTTGACGGAAATATCGTGCGCAGCAGTTGTTGAAGATGATCATTGAAATATCTATCTTTTAATTTAGCTTTTGTCGACGAATATTCGACGGGCATACGTCTAGAAGGAGCTTCTACGCCATCTCCGATCAAATGACGACATTTTTTGGTTAGAATGTATTATTATTTTTGGCATTAGTGTATTAATATTTTTATGCCCATCACCGAAGGATAAGGGGTACATTCATTTTGTCAAAACGTTTGTATCACCTAAAAGGATGCTTCAGGGACCCCACAAAGTTCTTGATCAGCATCAAATTCTAATCGATTTAAGCATGTCCGTCTGTCCGTCTGTGTAATGTCTGTTGCAAGCATTCTCCTGGCCGAAAAAACGAAGCTGTCGACTTTAAATTTTGCAGAAATTTAGGAAGTTCTTGCACGCAGGCAACTGAAAACATCTTTGTCTTTCAAAGAGAATGAAAAGTAGGTTTTTTGTTCATTACTCATAAACTATAGCAAATAATGTACAAAAATTTAATCGCATTTTCTACGGGCGCTGCTGTAACATTTTTTTTGTAAAGAACAATAGTCGCGGAAAACAGTCCTCATATTCGTTTCGGATAATTTAATGAAATCGATTAACGAGACGTATAATTGTTTGAACTCCGTATATTAGTGACAGGCCAGAAAGGAAGCGGGTGCTAAGAAAATTTTCAAAGAGTAAACATTAAAATCGTCTGATGTCTCGAGCCTTGCTTGCTGACTGCTTAAAACCACGCTTATGCTCGATACATAGGTATGTATTAGGTCTATAAATGAGTGTTCGCAAGTTTTTTTTATTAAAGATAAAAGAGTATTATAGAGAACGCCAGGAATTGTAGTATTCAATGTTTCTTCTTTGCACTAGATTCGGAGCAGACAACAGGTCCTTACTGGCTATTAGAACCCTTATTTGGGTGTCGTCATAAGAATAGAAGCACCATGCGAACTAATAATAAGTCACTTATTTAAGTCCATGTCAATCGGAAAAGACAATATTTGCTGGCAACAGGGGACGATATGTCTTTGCCGCCGGTGTGCAAGAGAACTGCAAACATTTTCTGCGCGAATTTTGTTTATATGCCGATATTTCTTCTTACTGAAGACCGAGGATATCGTAGGTTTTTGCATATTACTCGCGCTTTTCAACCCAATTGCATTAACAACTATTCGTAACTTTCCTTAATGGCTGTTTCATATAGTAGAAGCACACCATAGCACATGACGCCCAGCTCACCCCCCATGAGTCCGTGTGAGTAGCCGAATAGGTAAGACTCTCTTCTTTATCTGTTTCCCTTTCTTCACTTTTTTCCGACCGTCACCGTATTATACGAATAGAGTACATTTCCTGAGCCAATGATCCCATACGAAAAAAAATATAGCGGTTTCATTTGATAGGAGCACACCATAACACTCAAAGTCCAGCTACACTCACGTCTCCCCGATCCTAATGAAGATTCCATTAATATTCAGCTTCATCGTCGATGTTGATGATTCGCTTGGCCTGCATCATAGTTAATTGGGCTTTAGTTATCGCAAAGCAACCACTGAGAATGTAGCAGCACTTTCTTTCGAAATAAGCAGAAAAAGTAATGGAACTACACATGTTCAAACCTACTCCTTAAGCTTTGGTGTGACAACTTACGCAGTTACGTACTTTAAAATGAAGAAGTCACGGTTACATTTAGCCCTAGAGTACTACTTACACTTTCTCTTAGGAAATGGCAGACACTTGTTCACACACATCCAATATGGAAGTGTGTTTGGTCGGTTGAAGGAAGTATCTTCTACTCAAAGGCTAACTTATTAAAATTTTACTCTACTCAACGGATATTAAGTGGCTGCAGTATTTCATAACATTTTATTGATATAAGTTTTTGTACGTACATATATTTATACGCACACACTTCTATATGTGTATATATAAATAACTTAATAACTAAAACCAAGAGACAATTTCCGTAGAATTTATTATATATGATGGTCTCGTCAGAGACAACAGCCAACAGTACACATTAGAGGCTAGTGAAGCAATATATTCAACACTACACACTACTGCTATCTAAACATGCATAACAAATACGGTTTTAGGACATAATTATAAGATTTTTGTTTGAGCATAATTATGCAGATCAGCAAACAATTAATGCGAACATATCTAATATTAAATATTTGACTTTAATATTTCAGAGAGACTATCTTGAAGTCAGCAATAAACAAGACCAACAAATAGTAAAGAAGGAGGAGGAAACAAGAACAACCAAGTAGTAGAAGCACTGTCATCATCGTCATCATAATCAATTATGTCTCAACCACAATTATTGCAAATTAAATTGTCACGTTTCGACGCTCAACCCTGGGGTTTCCGTTTGCAGGGTGGCGTTGATTTTGCCTCACCTCTTTTAGTACAAAAGGTAAGATTGCCTACGAATATACTAACTAGCTAAGAAAACTAATGCTTACCAAATTGCAAAAGAAATTCTTATGAATACGTTTACGTTAACCAACATTTTTGAGTCACAAAAAAAAGAAAAATCTCTTAAGTAAATTATTGAAAAGCAAGAACAACAAACACAACAAACGTGTGTCTGAGTCATTTTTAAATGCATATGCGTATTTTCTAGTGGGTTTTTTGCCTACGTCACAAAAGGAAAGTTTTTATTTTTATATTAAAACCAAACAAACACCAACCATCAATATACTTTCTTCCATTTATTGGGTTGGCCAGTAAATAGTCTCCATTGTACCACTAATAGACACTATTCTGATGAGTTTGAAAACTCTTTCATTACATTCGATGTGAGACTTATGTGCAAAATTTTGTATAATTTTGGTCGTCTGTATGAGGTTTTGGCTTAAAATTAACATAGAGAGCCTCTTCAATACAATTTAGAATTTCTGAAATACAGAATTAAATTTTGCATGTCGGTTGCTCAAAACAACACAGGCTTCGGTAATGATTTAAAAAGCTTTGGTTGGAATACTTTTTCACAAAGGTAAAGAACGGTTTAAAAGATCACTTGAAGTTGATCCAAAATCGATTGCAGTACATTCTGCCAGTAAAATTTCGGGAAGAATGTGCCGAAAAATTTCACTTATTTAGTTTTTGATATGACAGAATGGTAAAATGCTGGCATCTTTCAAGACTAACCAGTAAACGACTGTACTATCTTCAATGTAATTCCAATTGTAGGAAAAATTACGGGATTTCAAAAACCTTACTTAATACACGTATCCACTACCAAATTAGCAACTGAGTAAAATCCCTTGACGACATCTCTCACGGTAGCAGACATAGGGAAGGAATAGATGAAAAGGTAAATTGCCATACCCGCTATGAAAGCAAATATTGTAAATATTGATTAATACTCGGTGCTGCCAATATATTAAGTAGTTTTTCAGTTCTATTCACTTCTATTCAGTTCTAATATATATTCCTAAGAAATTCCTTTGCCCGATTCACTAAAATTCCTAAATATAATGTCAGCTAAAGTCAGTGTGAGTAGCCGAGTAGGTAAGAGCTACGAAGTTAGATTTTCCGGGTCCAAATCTAAATTGCGGTAGAACTTTCTTTCGTCGTAGCTGCAGCGAGTGCCCAGTTGGGAATAGGCGTAACACTGATTAATTGGCCATACATCCACTACACTGCGGTCACCACCTTCATATTTCTTTCTTCTTCCTTGTAACACGCGAATAGGGGAAAGGCCCTGAGTGAATAGTCATATGAAAAAAAAACAAAGTGCCACACTCGCCGCTTATGAGTTTCGTATCATTTTTTCTTTTTCCAAAAATTAAATTTCTATTAAAAACTATTATGTGCAGAAGATGTTCTCAGTTATTTGATTTCATAAATGATAAATCGGGGGAGTTCTTTGGAAAAGTTCTCAAAAGATCATGAAATTGGAAAGAGTCTAAGGATTACTGAATATATAACTTATTTACTTATTTATCTACTTACTTACATAATACACTTATTTACATAAAGTCGATCATATTTAAAAACTAATGATTACATATGATTAAGCTTTAGATCGTTTAGAGGAGTATCACAAGAAAACAACTATCTAACAGCGATGAACCAGCATAAATCCTACTGAAAGGCGCATTAATTCACGGAAGATGACCCTGTCGATTTAACGTCGGTTCTCCCATTATAAAGGCTAAAAGTTCACGGTGCTCGATGGAGTGATAAAATATCGACCGCCCTCAACCCTCCCTACCCCCTCCCATAAAGAGTTAGATAATTTTACCATCTAGGAGATTTCAACATTTCGGGAATTCCTGCAGAATGGCGTACGACAGGCCTTTGCGAGCCTTTCTAACACCATAAATATTTAATGCTCCCGCCACATTGGGATATCTGTTCGTAGCCTCGCCAGTACAAAGAGTCATATAACTTTCCTAATGCTTGACATGTAATCGTATTTTCGTTGAGAACACTTCGCACTTCTCATAAAATTGTCTTTATAATTTGCTATTCTTCTCTGGTCCGTATTGTTTAATACTCTCTAAACGACAACATTTTGATGAGTAATAGCAATCTTGAAATGAACTTGAACTACATTTTCGATGAAAGATGCTTATTTTTGATATAAAAGAAAGAGAGTTTTACTTAAAATCAAAAATCTAAATTACAAATTCCTTGGCAAACTCTTTGTTACGTATGCAAATGTATAGCATACGATAACCGGTTATATATTCCGAAAGACTACCACAAGCTTGACTATAAAACTTAACAATTCATGGTTATGAGTGTTGTTGGTGTTATTACGATGCAGCACAGTCACCTAGTGTTTGCGTTCATTCAGAAATGTTTCAAAATGGTTATCACGATGTAACCACAGCGTAGAGCTGATTCATCATTGAATCATTTTCGAAAACAGCTCGGATACAGGCAAACAAAACTCGTTGCTGCAATCGAATAGCAAATAACTTTTTCCATTATAGGGAAACAGAATCGCGGAAAATGTCTTGCCGTCATACCCACTTAAATCATGTTTGTATGCAATAATGACCGGATTTAAGGCAAAGAGACAACAAGATATGACAAGTGATCCTATCTGCGCAAATCATAAGTAAAAAATTCTTCGATTGATGTTTTCACGAATGTTTTAATAAAATCGTTTATACATCAATTTTTTCCTTTACGGCAAATTTATTTACCATAAATTATTTATTAGTTCAATGTGTAATTTTTTTTTTTTTCATAATTTTTATTATATGCAAATGTTAACCCGAAACATGTGTCATGTACTACTCCTGCAACATTCCGCGTGAGCATATGTTTATATGTTTATAAATCTACGTATATATGTATGTAAGCGCACACAGTTAGGAAAACATGTCAAATTTGTTTGAAATGGACACCACTATTGTAGGTCTGTACACATAAATTATTATTAGTGTTTAGCACGGCATATAACAAACAGCGTACGTACGTACGTTCAAAAAAAAAACATCATCAAGATATGTTAAAGATTAAAAACAATCGATTAAAATTGCAGTTAAGAGGTCGAAAAACGCGACTTATTTGGTATAGATGTCAGACTGTGTAATTAAATTAAATGACTTAAAGCAACATTTTTTCCATGTATGGTTTGAATTTAAGTAAAATATATGTGTATGCGTTTATTAAGAGCCTTAACAATTTTTGCGCGTACATAAGACGGTGTAAATGACTCCATAATGTGGCGTTAAAAAGTAATTGTTGCTAAGCTTGGTTATAGAAAGCAATAAGTCCTACTGCAGCCATTTCCTTCATCTAGTTACTCACACTCTCACACAGCTGCACACTTTTTAACCGTAAATTGCTTCCATTGAACTAATTATTTGTTATTATCGTCATTTATTGGAGATAATGTTATCATTTAGTGTTAAATTCTTACTATGTTCCTTTGCCAATCCTTGAAGAATGCATATGGTGATAAAGTTGAAAAAGATTCAGTTATCGTGCAGAGGAAACTTTACCTGCGACAAAAAGGACAATGTATTGCCGTCAATTCATGTCTGTCCGTGAGTAGGGTATTCAGGTACAATTTTAGCTTACTGCAATAAATTGAGGTGGAAAACAGCTTTCACATAAAGCAGACGTCTCTATCCCCTAAAGCCTCAGCTAATTTTGTTATTTTTATTTTTTATTTTATTAGCAACGCCAGAGGCCGACACACATAGTTACATAAATCTAAATCATGCGCACAGAAAGAATTATATTTCATAGCTTTTATTGACAAGAAAGCCCCTGTTAAATTGCTTTAATATACGGAATTGTTTGTAGTACACCAGAGTCTCCCGATTACGCCTCTTGAGCAGTCGAATAGGTGAAAACGACGCCTTCGCGGGTTCAAATCTGCATTACAATTGAGTTTACCTTAATCAGAGGTATAGAGAGTGCGCGCAATCAGTCAAGGTATAACACTAAATGTTTGGGTAAACCCTCACTAGGCTGTGGTCATGCCTCTCTATCTCACTCGTTTTCCTCACTTCTTTCTGACGCTTACCAAAGTACACGAATTGGAAACATCCCCCCAGTGACAAAGGAATTTCACTTCACAGATTTCTCATTAAATTTAGGATTTTTTAAATAGTTCCATATCGCCTTAATTTATTTATAGCAAATACTTTTTTAGAGTTGGATGTGTATAGTCATAGCAAATGTTTCTTTAGAAATAAAATGAAAAATAATTTAAAATAGTAGTATTTTTTATGAAACTTCAATTTTTATTGAATACAAAGTGTATTTACGGACGTATGAAATCGAACTGATCAATTTATTTAATTTTCAATCAATTTTCTCAACATGCTTCGGAAGAATAGACGTAATAATGACTTTATGTCCGTTTAAGGTTAAGAAAGGTTTTTACGTCTTTTTGAAGTTGCTTGAGAAATAATTAAAAAGACCAGAGTGAGTCGCGGCCGACCATAAAATACTCTAGACCAACTTGCATGCAACGATTTTTAAAAACAAGGCGTTATATTGTAAACGCCTTAAAAGTGGCCCGATTAGAACCATTGTCAAAAGTGTTCGTTCTTAGGCCAAAAATGCAGCAGTGTATCCAGTTTCATAAAAATATCTCAAAAATCGCGGCCTTCAGGTTGAACACGAGAATACAATATAGACAGATGGACGGACATGCTTTGAAATTGATTCTGAACAGATCTGTATATTAAAAGGAGACTTTATCTTAAGCCGTTCTGTTTGTTGAATCCATCCAAACAAGTTCAATATGTCTTTGTATCACAAGTCTTGTAGGGTCTGAAAAGCTATTTCTGATTTCTAATCTTGATATGCGACGGCACTGTCTTTACAAGTCAAAAAATTTCCAGATTTCAGATGTGATGTGGTGTTGTTTCTTCTAGGTAGGCGAAGAATAACGCAAAACTTTTTTAACTTTCTCTTACCACTTTTCTGCTTTGG